AAGATCATAATTTTATAAAACCCTAGCTTTAATTCTATCAATCTTGTGAAATTATTGAGAATCAAAATACTTTAAGCATAAGAGTGAATGAATACCCTCATTGAAGCCTTACATACTAGAGAGATTGAGATATGCACGAAGAACTTGCTTGAAAGACTTGAAACCCTAGCTTCTGCCTTGCTTTCGGTACTTTTTGAGTTTGAGGGAGTTAAGAGTGTAGGAACTGAGTCTTGAGCATGAAAATCCCTTCATGGATATACGTAATGTTGTGGCTTAGACTTAGGAATAGTGGAAAAAGGCAAAAGAAACCTAGTTAAAAACTGTCGGAAACCTTCTACGAGGCCATGTACAGTCTGCGGTTTGATCTACGGGTCTTAGATCCTATACATTGAAGCCGAACTGAAATTTTGAGTATATGAAGTTCATTCTACGTGCCCAAATTACGGCTCGTAATTGGGTCTATGATCTGTAATAAGATCAATAGAAATTAGGCCTAAAAACATATTTCAAGACTTCATTTTATGGGTCCAAATTACGGCCCATAGATGCTTTTACGACCCATAACTGGGTTCGTAAGAATCAGACAAAAAATTAACTTTCAAAAGTTTATTCGACGAGTTCAAAGTGTTGGCCGTACTTCAATTTATGACCCGTAAATGAGGTTCGTAGTTATCAGACTCTGAAAACTCAGTTGTGTAAAGAAAGATCACAATTTCATAAAATCCTATCTTCAATTCTACCAATCTTGTTAAATTCTTAAAGATAAATATTTTAGGCATGAGAGTGAAGGAATACTCTAATTGAAACCTTACATACATGAGAGATTGAGATTTGAATGAAGAACTTACTTGAAAGACTTGAAACCCTAGCTTTTGTCTTTCTTATGGTAGTTTATGAGTTTGGGGAATTAAGAGGGTATGAACTGAGTCTTGAGCGTGGAAATCCCTTTTAGGATATGCGAAATATCGTAGCTTAGACTTACGAATAATGGGAAAAGACAAAAGAAACCCAATTAAAAAACTGTCAAAAACCTTCCATGAGGCCATCTATGGTCTGTGGTTTGATCTACAGGCCACAGATCCCATCTGTGGAAGTTAGACTGAAATTTTGAGTTTCCGAAGTTCTTACACTCAAATTACGGCCCGTAATTGAGTTTGCAACCCGTAATCATATCCATGTAAATCAGGCCCAAAAACATGTTTCAAGACTTCATTTTACGGGTCCAAATTACGGCTCATAGATGCTTTTATGACTCGTAACTGGGTTAGTAAGAATCAGACAAAACATGACTTTCAAAAGTTTATTCTACAAGTTCACAATGTGGGTCGTACTTCAATTTATGACTCGTAAATGAGGTTCATAGATGTTAGCCTCTGAACACTCTGTTGTGGTGAAGAAAGATCATAATTTCATAAAAATCCTATCTTTACTTCTATCAATCTTATGAAATTCTTGAGAATAAAAATACCTGAGGCATGAGAGTGAAATAATATTCTCATTGAAACCTTACATACATGAGAGATAGAGATTTGAATGAAGAACTTACTTGAAAGACTTGAAACCCTAGTTTTGCCTTCCTTACAGTAGTTTCTAAGTTTGAGGAGTTAAGACTGTAGGAACTGAGTCTTCAACGTGAAAATACCTTTTAGGATATGCGTAATGTCGTGGCTTAGACTTAGGAATAATGGGAAAAGACAAAAGAAATCCTAATTAAAAATTATAAAAAAACTTCCACGAGGCTATCTACAGTCTGTGGTTTGATCTACGGGCCGTAGATCCCATCCGTGGAAGTCATACTAAAATTTTGGATTTTTTGAAGTTGATACTCCCAAATTACGGCCCATAATTGGGTTTATGACCCGTAATCAGATCCGTGTAAATTAGGCCCAAAAACATGTTTTAAGACTTCACTTTATGGACCCAAATTATGGCCCATAGATGCTTTTACGACTTGTAACTAGGTTTGAAAGAATCAGAAAAAAAGACTTTTAGAAGTTTATTCTACGAGTTCACAATGTGGGTCGTACTTCAATTTACGACCCATAAATTAGGTTCGTAGTTATCTGAAAACTCTGTTGTGATAGTCTCTAGTAAAATGGTCATTACTTCTTACTCTGAACTCCAAGTGATGCAAAATTGGTGGAGTTGGAAAGAAGATTTATAGAACTTTAGTTTGATTAGTCATGAGTCATACAATTTATTATATAATGAGATATATGTCCATTTGAAGTTTACCCTTGCATGAACTAATTCGAAAAATTTAAACGGTAGGAAGGTTTTGAACTCGACTTAGTACTAGAGGTCTCTTATGACCCTACACTCGACCAAGTTTTACTAAATAAGCCCGAGTTGCTCGCAAACTCAACCTAGGTCATAAAAAGGAGAAAAAGAGGCTTAAAACTTGAATAAATTTATTTATACAGAATAAAATTACAAGATACATATATGAATGTTTTTTTCATATCTTATATGATTGTTGAAGGAAAGTTATTGGTAGACTTAAGAAGACGGAGATTTTGAAACAAACAACAGATTGGAAGAATGCGTTTGTGCTCCATGTTATGGAGGACACTCCTACATACACATATGCATAATTATATTATTAGAAATTGAAATGTTTATGTTTGAGCTATATATGCATGATGATGGTTTTTATATTGTAAAGGCTTAAGTCATCTGCGACCTCTTAAAGTTGTCCGCTTAATTTATCACCTCAACTATACGTAGTACCTATTGAGCATCTTTACTAGACAAGATTTGAACCGTTTAAGTATTTTTTTGTCACTTTTCATAAATTGCGTGGTATGTGTTAATAACCTCTCCACTTGTATTTGACGTGTATGAAATCGCCATAACTATGAAGTTCAATGGAGTGGGGTGAATGGTTTTTGAAATTAGTAAGGGGGAATATTCATTTGTTGTTCACTTGGATAAGAAGCATTGTGACCGTAGGTTGTGGATGTTGAGAGATATTCCTTCCCCTCATGCTATTTGTGCTTATTATTACTTGAATCAAGATCCTGATCAACATGTAGAGCACTGGTATAAGAAAAAAACATTTCTCAAGGTTTACAACCATTTCATCCGACCTATTCCCAATATGAGGATGTGGCCTGAAACTACAAATCCATCAATAGAGCCGCCAAAACTAAGAAAAATGCAGGCAGACCTGGCAAGAAGAGAAGAAAGAGTAAGGATGAGCCAAAAAAATATGGTAAACTTTCCAAAAATGGAGTAAAGATGACATGTTTCATATGCAAGAAAACTGGTCATAACAAAGTTGTGTGTGCAAAAGTAAGTAATAATTCATATTCACATTTGTAATTGCTTAAAGTTTATACATATTATAGTCATATATTTTATTTTGTGGTGACATAGTATGGGAGTGGGAGCACTTCTCAGCCTAATAGTAAGAGAAAGTCAAGTCAACAAAGTTATTCTCAAACGGGATTAAGATTTGATTTACACATTCATTTGCATTTAATTTTTATTTTACAATTTATTCATATCTCCTTATTTCTGTTCAATAGGTTAGAACACAATTAAGTCAACAAAGTTTTGTTTGTGGTGACACCACTATTGTGCCAAGAACTACTTAAACATGAGTAAGATTAAATTTAAAAATTCATTTGCATTTAATGTTTGTTCTACAAGTTATTCATATACCCTTATTTATGTTATATAGTCTAGAATGGGACTCTACTTCCAAAACCACATATGCAACCATATTTGCAACTACACAATCAAGTCAACCAAGCTCTATTTGTGGTGACATAACATCTGTGTGAAGACCTCCTAAAAAATGGTGCAAGTTGGGATTAGAAGAGGATTGAGTAGAAAAAAAAGCTAATGCAAGAGGGACCCCAATTGTTACTGAAAAAGATAATTCTTCTAGTCAACTGCCATCTTTATCAGGCAGTTCTGCCTCATTTGCTGTTGCTACTAGAGGAAACAAAAGGTCTACAACTGGTTTTGGTGTTTACTCTAATCATACAACTGGAGCTCAAGTATTTAATGTATGTTCACTTAATATCTTTACTCTGTTTTGGTGTATATTCTGATAGTCATATTATGATCTTACTTTATCTTACACTTTCTTTCTTCTATTACAATCTTGTACATCAAGTGAGAAGATTCTACATGGGACAACAAAATTGAAATGTGCTTCATCGACCAATATAGATATTGGTTTTAAATCCCGTGACCTAAAATGGAAGGGAAAACATGCCGTCAACACTTCACAGTTGCAACAAATGAAAGCAAACAAGAAAAACAAAGGGTCTTGTGGAACCTCCAAGAAATAGTTCAATTGGAAAGTTGTTATGATTTTGGCCTATGTTGAAAAGGTCTTCAACAATTTACTCCTTAGTTTATTTTGAACGCTCGTGTAATGTATTTTTAATCATGCCTTTGTGTTAGCAAGACAATGATTTTTGAACAACAACTAGACTACCTCTCAATGCATTTGTATTATGTATTTTTCAACCATGCCTTTGTGTTATGTATTTTTCAATCATGCATTTGTGTTATTAGCTCAATTTTGGAACAACAACTAGACTACCTCCCAATGCATTTGTGTAAGACTACTCGATCGCAGAACTAATTGATCTGGAAAATTGCTATGTTTTTTCAGAACACAGGGCAAGTTACAAAAGAGAGGCACATTACAAAAGAGACTGATCAATTCATATTCAAACTTCCAATTTGATACAAAATATGAACTTAACATAGGCCTAACTATTACAAAACAGACCAATTAAGTACAACACTAATTGGTCTAGATTAGCCTCCTAACTACTACAAAACTAAACAATTAAGTACTAAAATCTTGAACTACTATGAACTACACCATATTAAAGAACCGTTTTATAGTAGCAGACAAAGAAAAATAATCACAAGTTGGTTAAATTTGACATTTTCCCAATCCTTTTAGAGTTTAATTTCCTTGATATCTACCAAAAAAAGCTCAATTTTTGGCGGTTAACTTGTGGGAGTTAAAGGGAAAGGAGGCTGCTAAATTAGGGTTTTCCTGAAAGAAGTAGAAAACAGCAAAAGAATGGAAGGAATCACAGAGGGAGTGAACAAGATGAGTGTCTCAGAGACGCAAAAGAAGAACAGAATCCAAGTTTCTAACACTAAGAAATCACTCTTCTTTTATGTTAACCTATCAAAGAGGTACATGCAACAGTACAATGAAGTGGAACTCTCTGCTCTTGGGATGGTTATTTCAACAGTGGCTACCATTGCTGAAATTCTGAAGAACAATGGATTTGCTGTTGAGAAGAAGATCAAGACACTCACTGTGGACATGAGGGACGAACCAGGAGCCCGACCAATACCAAAAGCAAAGATTGAAATAGTGTTGGGCAAGACTGAGAAGTTTGATGAGTTAATGGCTGCAGAAGCAGAGCAAAACGGGGACAATGAGGAGCAGCAGAACTGATTATTTCCACATCTGTTCTCTTTCCTGACGATTTAAGTTATTCCAGTCTATACTGCATTCAGCTGTTGGGTTGTCTATGGCCTTTAATTAGATCTGTTGGAAAGTTTTTTTTTAAAAAAAAGCAGCATGGTTTACTTTTAAAAAAAAATAAAAAAAAAATAAAAATAACTTGTGGGAGTTTTCAGAAATCCCACTAATAATTCATTTTGTGACATTTTATTCTAACCCCCACAATATAAATATTTTTGTGGTAGTTTTATTAAGGAGGTTAAAAAATTGCCACAGTTTATTATTGTTTATCGCGATTATCGACCCCCAAAAATCTATTAGATTGGTTACTTTTAGAAATTATTATTATTATTATTATTATTATTATATATATATACACGCGCGCGCGCACATCCTTCTCCTTCTTCATTTTAACTGATTGTGATATTTTTATCCTCTATTTCTTTTATATATTAAGATATTCTTCAAATAATTTTTGTACTTGACATATGCAATTTCACTTAAACATTTTTATCTTATATCGTAATACTTTAATTGGTATTATTTAGTGATTTTAGTTGTCTCATAACACAAAAATTTGAATTTTATAAATTTTAAAACTGAGGAAAATAATATATATATATTATAAAAAAAACAAAAATCGGATGCTAAATCTATAGTAAGATTTATTTATATTTGTATTTTAACTTTATTTAAGCTATTTATAATACTAGTTGAAGGTGAAACATTTTAATTAATAGTTCTTACTTTTCAATAAAAATTAAAAATAAAAGCTTGTTTTATGCACAAAATTCTTTTATCCTTCATTTAGACCAAATTCAACCAAAATTTTAATACATCTCCCTCCAAAATTAAAAAAAGGCTAAAGACAATAATTCTCCCTTAAAACTTTTCAAACCTAATCAAATAACCACCCATTCCCACCCATTCCCAAATCCCACGTAAACCACACACAAATCTTTTTTTTTTCTTTAACTCATTTGTTTTTCCCCTTAACATATTACCAGGTAAAACACACACCTTCCCCTCTCCTCTCTCCTTTTGCCTTTCACTCTTCTTTACATCATTTTTTGGTTCATCTTTTGTATATGTGGTTTTGCTAAAAAAAATAATTCATTGTAGGCTTGCAAAGTGGAACAGATGAAAAATAATTAATTATTTGAATACAAAGGTAATTTTTTGTTACATGAGTGTGATGATTCATACTAGATTTTAAAATTCATATTATTATTTGATCATTTTATATTTTCAAGTTGTTAAACTTAATGAATCAATGATTATACATATTTCAGGATTTGTTTGAATTCTCACTACATCGTAAAGTTATCCGTACCCAATTTTTAATTGATATATGGTAAATCTTAATTTTATTTTTGTTTAGCTAAGAATCATGTAATCATTTTATTCTTGATTGAATCTGACTATTACAAATTAAAGGATAATTTTTCATATTAGATTGTGATTGATATCAATATAACTTTAAAATTATGTATATTCTTATTCAATACGATAGATTGTCGAAATTATAACTACTTTTTGGTAAATGAAAGAAAAAACTAAGGTCAAAGAGGAAAGTCTAACTTATAGATTAAGAGAAGTGAGAAATACTTGAACCAACATGTTAAATAGAATGAGCATTATTATATGATTTTGGAAATATAAACCTAGTTTAAACTTACGTAGAAATAATCATAAAGTTATTATTATTCACTTTATTAGTGTGTATGAGAGAACATCAAAAGTAAATATGTTTCATCCATTATCTTACAATTATTTGTAAAATCAAAGCTTTATATGATTTGCTTTCGAAATGAATTGAATTTTAATTTTTTTTATCAAGATGTACCAAGATATATGTGTATCAATATATGTTTATTTAATTGTATATATTATTTTCATTGTTTCAGCCTGATGCGGAGAGCTTATGTCACTTTGGATAAAAAGATTGGACGACAACAACTTAAATCACCAAACAAATGTTATAGAATTTTTTTTATGTTTATTTGATGTGGATATTAAAAGATTTAAAATTGTAATGTTGGAATTATTATTCACAAGTTTGTATTACTTTTATTTGACATGCATTTGAATTTATGAAGCTTATTAATATAAATTTGTTTAGTAAAATTTAATTTGCTTTAAATGTGTTATTTAGTAAAATTACTTATTATTTTGAAGAATTGATGTAAATCAAGTTTAAAATTACTTATTATTTAGAAGGCTTGATGTAAATTAAATGTCATATTTATTATTAAAATAATAATAATAATCTCATGCATGATAGTTTTAAATCCACAAAAAAATATTTTTTAAAATATTGAGATCATATTGTGAAGGTTCTTAACCGTCACAAACGGATACTGAAAAACCTCCACAAATTTAAAAGTTATTTTGTGGGGGATGTCATGGAGGTTTACTAAAACCGCTGCAAATATGCTCGTGGCAAGGGTAATTGTGGCATTTTTAAAAATCGCCACAATTTAATTTGTGGGATCCTTAAACTGCATAAATTGACAAAATAACCCCCATAAATTGAGCATTTTTTTGTAGCCATCATCTTCTCTTCATTTTGATTGAATTGAAATTTCAAAAAATCTATTTCTCCTTCAAGCTCTTTCACTTTTCTCTTTAGTCCATCAATCGGATTTTCACCCTCTATGAATCTATTCCATGACACAATCTAGATGATTCATCAGTATTTTCAGGCGACGGATCAATCCATCTAAACTACCCACATCCACCATTTTCCTACAAACCACATAACAGTAATAAATATATAAAATTTTAATTTTTTGAATTATTCAATAACAGTTTTTTTTGTTCGAATAGTTACAAACCTTTGATGCTCTGCATTCAAAAAATCGATGACCTAGATTTAATGGAGTCTTCAAAGTTTTCAGTCGGCAATAATCACCACATTTACATATACCGGCTTCCTCAATATTCACTGAATTTTGCGATATTTGATAAAAGACAATTGATTTAGAAGAGAGAAACAAGAGAAAGGTTGCAGTTTTAGAGAAAGAAGAGAGAATTGGGAATTTAGAGTTCTAAAATGGATTTAGGGGAAGAAGAGAACGTTGGGAGAGAAATTACCGTTAAGAATTTAACGTTGGGGGAGTTAAATGCAGGCAAAAATATGGGAGATAACGGATTCACGCGCCCATTTGCGTGACTCGCAAATGTTTTGCCATGTAGGCAAAAAATGTTTAAACGGTTCAAATCTTGGCCGGTAGAGGTGCTCAATAGGTACTATGTCTAGTTGAGGTGTCTAAATGAATTATGCGGACAACTTTAAGGGGTCGTAGATGACTTATGCCTATTGTAAATTATTTTTCATGTTTTTAAAATAGAAATAAATTTTTTTTGTATGTTGGACCATATACCATAAATAGCATGCTTATACTATTTAAGTCTTACCTTCAAAATTTACTATCAATCAATTCTATAAGTTACGAGAATCTTATGAGAGGATTATCACCTCCAAATAAATTAATTCTTTGGAGTGATTTCTCAACTTATAATTAGAGATATCATTCACCTTTGTAAGAGACATCTGAATAGAAGAAAAGTTATCTCATTCATCTACATATCTTGTCTTCTTCTCTTTATAGTTATTTTGTTCTGAGCTTTATTTACAACAATTTACAAGTTGTTTGCTTGATTTCACATTTATTCAAAAAATTATGTAATGAATATCTATAATATGGTGTATGTAACATATGTTTTTTTTTATTTTTATCCCTTTCCAAATGTTAGTTTTTTAACGATTTAAAATAGAGCCGACAGTTTTAGTTCGTATTTATAAAATCAGTCTATACTATCCATATTTCGATGAGTTGGATCACTTGTATTTCAGTTGGATAAATTTGAATTTCAATATTGTTATCCTATAAAAATGTGATCAAATATGGCAAAAGGGTCTGATGGACCCTTATACTTGACTCGAATTGTAAATTGGATCCTTCTACTCCACAAAGTTTCAACTGGACACTTCAACTCAAATAAAATAGAAATTTTAAGCCCCTTTGACCATTGACGGGTCTTAGGTGGCATTAATTTAGCTGAGTTAGAAAAATGTGTGTTACACACGCGAAATAAGAGCGTGAATTGATTTAAAATGTTACTAAAATTAAATAAAAAGTAAAAAAAAAAAAAACCTACCTTAAAAAAAGGCAAAAAAGAAAAAGAAAAAAAAAACCTTTCTTCTTCAAATCCACCCACCCACCCTTTTTGAAAAATAACAGATCTCCCTCATGCTATATCACTATCCTCTCTATTTATTATTTTTTCTTGCAATCTCACTTTCCCTCACGTTTCAAATGAAAACTACATATTCATAAAAAATTCAACAACAAAAATAATTGGAAATGAAAGAAAAAAAACTTCTCCAAATTGAAAGCTCGGATCGAAATTGAAGAAGGATTTTTGTTGCTACTATTTGTTTCTTTTTATCTCTTTAGAAGCAAAACTTTTTTTAAAAAAAAGTCAAAATTTTATCTCTCTTTTAAATTGTAGATACAACTGTGAAATTTCATATTTCTTGATCTTTCTTCTTTCAAGCTTGGATTTTTTTTTTTCAATTTCAAGTTTAGTATTAGGAGTAGTAAGGTTTGAGTGTTTTCTTCTATTGATGTTAATATCAGTTTTGATGAAATTGTAAGCTCAAATGAGGCTGTGAATAGAGCTAGATGTAATTTCAAATTGTAATATCATGTGCGACGAAGACGGAGACAGATGAGGGAGAGAGTATTTGTGGTCTCGCCGGCAAGAGGAGTGATGGCAGCGGCAACTTTCTTCGGCGATTGGGCCATTTCACGGTGAAAATGACAGCTGATGTAGGGAGATCCAAAATTTTAATTTAAAAGAATAATTTGTTTTTTTTTGTACAATTTGCATCATAACTTTATGAATTTTTGTCCAAAAAGAAATTGTTATAAAAATAAAAAATGATGTAGCAAAATTTATCTGACATGAAATGTGACATCAGTGTGATTGAGAGTCACGATGAGTTGAAAGGGTTCAACAGGTTGAGTTTAAATGAGTTCGGGGGTTCAGATGACAAAGGGATAAGTAGAAGGGTTTACAATACAAACG